GGTTCCCCCTCCCCCCCCTTGTCTGTTTCCTTCCATTCTATCTTCCTTCTTCCATAATCCCCTCTCCCTCTTTCTCCTATCCTTCCTATCCTACCCTGCTCTCTCTCTCTCTCTCTCTCTATCTATCTATCTCTCTCTCTATCTCTCTCTCTCTCCTTCTCTCTCTCTCTCTCTCTCTCTCTCTCTCTCTCTCTCTCTTTCTCTCTCTAAATCTCTCTCTCTCTCTCCCCCCCCCTCTCTCTCTCTCTCTCTCTCTCTCTCTCTCTCTTTCTCTCTCTCTCTCATCCCCCCTTTCGTTCTCCCTTCCTCCTCTCCTCTGAAGTTCCTGTCTTGACCCTCTCTCTTCCCTTCTCCCCTCACCTTCCTCCCTTTCTCCTCCTTGGCCCAGTGCCAGTGCCACGTCTGCTGCAGTCTCTGGGCAAAGAGATTGGTAGGAGGGAATTGGGGGAGGGGGAGGGGGGAGGGGGAAGAGAAGGAAGGGAAGAGGGGGTGAAGAGGGGAGAGGAGGGAAGAGAAAGGTGAGAGGAGGGAAGGTGGGACGAGGGAGGGGGGGGGAGGGGAGAAGAGGGGAGAAGAGGCTGCCTTGTGTTGTGTCTCGCTTGTTCCTCGATGGTGCTCGTTCTGTAGTGTCTTCTCTTCTTAGGTTTCTCCCTCTTTCCGTCTTCTCTTTCTTTGTTTTTTGTTGTTGTTGTTTTTTCTTTTTTCATTGTCGATTTCTTAGATTTCCTTTGATGGACACTTATGCGCCTCTTTCTTTATTATTTTTATTATTCACTTCCTTCTCTTCTTCATCAATATTCCCTTTTCCTTTCTCTATTAATGTTTCTTTCTCTCTATGTCAATTATCTTATTGACCTTCACTGGGAATCTGATCATATTAACCTATTTTCCATTCTATAAAGTAGTTATGGATTTGTTGAAATTTCGAAAACAATGGAGACTGACTCAATGCAGACTTTCGCACAAACAATAAATCTTTTGTTTCAGTTGAGATGTTGAATGGAAACTGTTTTTAATATTGTTATTTTATTGATTGTGAGCGCGCGTGTGTTTGTGTGTGTTTGTCTGTCCATGAATGTCATGTGCAGACGTGTGTTTGTCTTCTTTATACAGTTTTTTCTTTGGATAAATCTTTTGCTTGTACCAATCTCTCTATCATTCTACATATCTGCCTCTTTTATTTTTTCTCTCTGTCTATCTTTCCATTCCCACCTATTACCTCATCCCACCTTTCATATGTCAAACTTTTTCAGAGTCAACATTTTCTTCAGAAATCTCTGACGTCTTTCATTTCATCTTGACTAGTTTTTAATACGTGACTGACGAAGGGAAAGTTTCTTTTTCTGTGTTATTCTTTCATCGAGTCACTGGTTCATTGCTTCATTGAGTCACTGGTTCATTGCTTCATTCAGTCACTGGTTCATTGCTTCATTGAGTCACTGGTTTATTGCTTCATTGAGTCACTGGTTCATTGCTTCATTGAGTCACTGGTTCATTGCTTCATTGAGTTACTGGTTCATTGCTTCATTGAGTCACTGGTTCATTGCTTTATTGAGTCACTGGTTCATTGCTTTATTGAGTCACTGGTTCATTGCTTTATTGAGTCACTGGTTCATTGCTTTATTGAGTCAATGGTTCATTGCTTTATTGAGTCACTGGTTCATTGCTTCATTGAGTCACTGGTTCATTGCTTTATTGAGTCACTGGTTTATTGTTTCATTGAGTCACTGGTTCATTGCTTCATTGAGTCACTGGTTCATTACTTTATTGAGTCAATGGTTCATTGCTTTATTGAGTCACTGGTTCATTGCTTCATTGAGTCACTGGTTCATTGCTTTATTGAGTCACTGGTTTATTTCATTGAGTCACTGGTTCATTGCTTCATTGAGTCACTGGTTCATTACTTCATTGAGTCACTGGTTCATTGCTTCATTGAGTCAATGGTTCATTGCTTCATTGAGTCAATGGTTCTGTGGTTCATTGCTTTACACTTAATCTACGGATTCAGTAAATAGTTCAGTATTTGCTCTTTTTATCAGATTACTCGCATATTAACTATATGAATCTCCAATGAAATATAGATCAGAATGAGTGACACTGTTCTGTTTCGTCTTGTTTTATTTTTCTTTCTCCGTGTAGTCCTTTCCCTTCTATTGTCGTAAACATTGCGTTTCACCTTCATTTTCGCTATAGTCATAATGTAGGTCATGTCATTTTATAAAGATCTTAATACCAGTGTTCTTTGTCAAATCCATGGACCATTTGAGTCGAGAGAATCATACTTGTGAATCCAAAGAAATATTTAAAAATGCTTATGAATAAATAATAAGGAATGGTACTAATCTATAATAGTATTGAAGAAAAGTAGCCATGAACAGATAATAATGAAGAATAACGATAACAAATGAATAAAAAAGAGGGATATATTTTAAAGAGGAAACGATTCGTCTCGAAAACGAAACTGCGAATCGCCGTCTCACTCAGATTCTCGAACCGGCCTTTTGAGAGTCTGGTTTCCAGGCTTCATGAGTCACTAGTATATTGATCCGAACAGTCGATGATGCCCTTCGCTTGGCTGTCTGTCCACGAAGTTCATTCAGGTCTTCGCTCATTTTTTGGCCACTGGTCAAATTATCTGGGTTTGGGATTTCGTCTTGGTATGCTTTTATTGTTAGGTTCGTGTTTTCTTTTCTTTTCTTTTCTGTTTTGTTTGTTATTATTATTTTTTTTCTTTTTTTTTGGTTTAAGTATTGTTTTATTTATGAATTCTTCTTCGTCTTGTATGTTTTTGATGTTTTTGATGTTTTTTTCTTCTTCTTTTTCATCATTATCATCGTCTTTTCTTTCTCGTCTGTAGTTCAGTTTCTAGTCTGTGGTTCGGTTTCTTTCTGCTTTTATATCGATTTTTGTTGTTCTGTTTCGTCTGGTTTTATTTCTTTTTCTTTCTCCGTGTAGTCCTTTCCCTTCTATTGTCGTAAACATTGCATTTCACCTTCATTTTCGCTATAGTCATAATGTAGGTCATGTCATTTTATAATGATCTTAAGTTACCAACACGTCACCATCCGATTATTTTTTTATTATTACTATTTTTTCTTTTGTTTTGTTTAAATCTTATTCTCGTTTCACTCTTTCTGTGAATGACTCAATGTTTATAAATAGTATCATTCTGACACACTGTTCACACTGACTCATCGCTCTTAAGGGTCTTCTCTTGTGTTGAGTCATCCTCGCAACTCATGAGTGACACACACACACACAACACACAGACACACACAGACACACACACAGACACACAGGTAGATATTTACATGAAGAAAGAGAGAGAGAGAGAAAGAAAGAGAGAATGAGAGCGAGAGAGAGAGAGAGAGAGAGAGAGAGAGAGAGAGA